GTATTATATGAAATGTTGAAGGGTATTCTCTAAGAAAAGGAAGAAGAAGAAAAAGGTAAAGATAAAAAATTATGAACAAAGTGACAACAAATATATACCTATCAACAAGTGAATCTAAAAATCAAATGAATAATGAATCTGATGAACAGAATAAATTGATGAATGGAATAGACTCAGGGGCATGGAGCAGACTGACGATTCTCAGAGGGAAGGGGGTGTGGGGGGTGCCGGAAGAGATTAGACAAAGATCTTATATGCATGTATGCAGTACATATGGACATAGACAATAGGGTGGAGAGGGCCTGGGGTGGGGTGGGAACCAAATTATGGGGGTTCCAGAAGAAGAGAGCGAGCATCTATAATAATCTCAAGAATAGATTTAAAAAAAAAACAACACGAAAAAGACATATAAATGACAAATCTGGATTAATAAAATAAATTTCTAAAAAGCAAAAATATTAAAATGTGCAAACTATATACTAAAGGTTTGGGTCAAATAGACAAAATATACAAGGTGGTAATATAATTAAGAATTTGCAAGTAATTAAAGGGACATTTGGTTGCATGAAAGCAATTTGAAAATGTAAGGCAATAACTTGGCTATAAGCAAGTAAGCGATATGAAAAGTGACACTGATACATCTATCTCAGCACAGTTAAGGATATCTATGTTCCAACTCAAAGTGCCTCGGAGCTTAGACTTCAGATCAACCTGACGTCAAACTGATCAGAGTGCGAGATGCGAGATGCCAGCAGGGCTCTCAATGGGTGTTAGTTTGGAGCTTCAAATCAGCCACAGCCAGCTGGTCATGCTTTCATTAACTCTTCATTTTCAATGACTTTTTATAAGTTTTAGGTCAAGAACATGTTTAAAAAGACATTTATAAAACATTTCCACTTTGAAAGACCTCCAATAATTTACTGGGTATTAAAAGGCCTGATTTTGGGGGGAACCACTGCTCCTCATATTTGTGATACACACAAAAAATTCCATCATAAATTGCATTATGAGTAAGAGGTGTGAATTGTAACACCAAATATATTTCAAAATTCACCAACCTTTCCACATTGACTGGCTTATTGAATTTAAACAAGAGGTGAACATTATTGCTAACACTAGAACAGAAGTGAAGGAGTATATTTTATTCACACAAATTCAACTACTCAAGTGGAAGGAGAGGGAGACGGGAGGGAAAGAACAAAGGGAGTGGAGGAGAACCAACAGGGCCTGAGGCTGAGCCAAACACTCAACAGGCAACGGACACATGTGGGCCAGAAAAGTCAGAGCCGGTCAATGAGCCTTTGGAAAAAATGTGAGATTGCTTTGAAGGGTTTGAAAGAGGCCATTCCAGATACCAGCAAGTATGTGTGGCAGCTTCTCTGACGTCTAGTGGAAGCAACTGAAGAAGTACGGACCTCAGAGAAATGTGGCCAAGGAGTGAAAGAATAGATATAACTCGCCAAAGGGCTGTGGACTTAATGCACCGGTGATTTAAAGGGTTTTCACCGTTTTAATTTTTACTATCAGAAATTTTAACCTCAAGGGCTTACTTTAGAACCTAGCCACATATTAGATTAAACTGCACAGGACCAAATAAATGCAAGCAATTTTAGGAGTGAAAAGATGGCATTAAACTTTTTATCCTATAATAAAAATTCCTGTAATTCACGAAGAAAACACAGGGAAGGCCTTACATCATGGAATGAATGCAGTGATAGCTACAGAAGATAATGTCCTAAAAGTGCATTGGAAGATAGCATGATAAAACTATTCTAGGGAATATAAGGTCATAAAATCAAATTAAATTAAATGTCTATTTGTTAGAATGAATATTAAGTCAACAATATAATATATGCTTTTACTAAATAGTTCGTGTCATTACATGTCACAATTTACTTATTCATTTTTGAGAATGTACACCCATATTTTATGTATGCTTACACCGAATAAAAATTTGCTTTTTCAGAGGTACAATTCAAATTGGACAAGAAAAACATCAAATTAATTTTTGCAATAAGATTTCTAAGGAAGTAACTTGATGTTTGAATAATCAAAGCAAAAGTCATCGTTCACTTATCGCCACCAAAAAGGTCAGCATGTGAGTGTGAACATTGGTTTCTTCCAAGTAATAAACTGAAAGGTACTTTTGTGACCTGCCATTATTTTGGTGTAAAATAGCACTTCTATGTTATTCCTTATTTCCAGGTGTGTAGGAGTCTGATATTGTCCCTGAAGTATTTGAAAAAAGAAAGCTGACAGAGAATCTGAAGAAAATTTAAATAGCCCACAGAGGACAGATACGATCCACACCTGCAGCCAACAGCAATGAGACAGCAGAGCCTAAAGACACGAGACACACTGATCAGAACTGAAAAGTGGACTTAACTTATTCATTGGACTTTCCAGCTACTACTTAAAAGTCACTCCATTACTGAAACTTTTGCAGTTCAAGAAAGAAGGCAAGCACTCAAAATGTTAAGTGGAAACACCTATTTAACTGTTCATTCATAAAATCTAGCTCTCTAAAAGTCACTTTCATGAAATATAGAAAAGAAGCTTCTTCCACCTCATAGGAAATTAACTTACCGCATCTTTTTCAGGGTTGCAGACTTTCACCCAAAGAATGTGGTCCAAGAGCCAATCAATGGGCTTCTCCTTATAGAACATAAATATGAATTCCACAATCAGAGTGAGGTCTGGCGCTTGAAACATTTTACCTGAAAAGATATTCCAGTCAACGGCGGTAATAAAGAAGCCAAGCATGCATATGGCGTACATCAGGTAAACCTACACAACAAATAACTAACTCATGGTGCTCTTTCAACTACGAGTCATTATGAATAATGTCCCCACTTGTCTTATCACAACAAACTTGCTTTGGGTCAACATGGAGCTATCATCCTATCTAATAATAGACAAACATGGTAATTAACCATACCTCCACTACACTTCCCATTGGCTAATCAGCAGGATATGCAAATTAAATGCCAACAAAGATGGCAGCCAGCAGCCACGCAGCTGAAGTGAACATGAGGCTTGCTTGCTCCAGTGATGGAGGAAGCCAAGGTTCCCCATCTGCCGTGGCTCAGCTCTGAGCTCCGGATGCAACAATGTTGCAATTATAGAAGGCTGCCAGTACAGCGGTGGTGGTGGGAGCCTCTCCTGCCTGATGGCAACAGTTTCAATTATAGAAGCTAAACAAACCCAGATACCTGCTTTCAGCCAGCCACGGCCTCAGAGCTGGAGCTGGCTCTCAGCTCCAGTGACAGCTATAGAAGGTAAATAAATCCCAGAAT